AATTGTTAGCTAGCGGCCTAGTTGTTGACAACCGCTAGAACGCTAGCTAACAATTATTGAAAAAAAACGATTAATTGCCAAAGTAATTGGGAATTCGAATTTCGGAGTAAATTATCTTTTCTAGACAGTCCATCCGGGCCTTAATTAAATAATTGAATTCCAGCAAGTGAATGTACTCGCGACGAATAAATGTATAATTCCCTCTAAATAATTGTTCCATTCTGTAAGAATAAAAAAATACGTGAACAATTTTCAAAAAAATGGTTTTTCGCCTCAAGTCCTGTAATTCCTGGAATAATTAAATAATTATTGTAAATAAACGAGATATTTAAATTGTTAATGAGAATGCTTTATTCTTCTACGGATTTACAAAATTCGCTGAATAACATAGTCCATATTGTATAATAATTATTATTTAATAATAGAGGAATAAGAATGATAATTATTATTAATGACTCGAAAGGTGATTTCAAATTTTTTGACTTTATTCCATCAGAGGGATTTCACCAATCACATGATATTACTGAACCCCGAAAATCTCCACTTGTTTATAAACCTGGTTTTTATTATTTGTTTACCATCGGAAGAAACAATCATTGTAAAAAAATATTTGACACCTGTAATTTCACAGATTTATCAATTCGTGAATTGATTCAGTGCCAAAAGTGAAGGAAATCCTTGCGAAAATAGAATAAACGTTAATGAAATGGAATGTTTTGAGGTTAAGAGTGGAATGTCTGACGTTTTAAAACGATGAATTCACCAAGAAAATCGAGAAATCACCGAGAAAATGAGAGAAAAGGGAGAAATTCCGATGATTGTGGGTCTTCAAGTGATTTAGGATTGAAGAATCACAGGTCATCGGAGAGATCTGATGATTTGACATTTACCAGATTCAGGTACGAGTTGAATAAAATATTCTCAGCAAATCCAAATTTAGTGCAAGACCCAGAGGACTTCTGGGGATTTGTAAAAAAATATGAGGCTCTCCAGAATAAGTTGGGGAAAAATCAGAAAGATGGAAAGTCTGATGAAAAGATATCCAGGGATGTTCCCGAGAATTTCCAGAAAAATCTTTGCATCAATCTGAAGCTAAATTTGAAATTTGAAGAGATATTCGCGCGAGTTCCACATACGAGTGATTTAAATACCTCCAAGCTACTTAAATTCAAGGAGATTTTGGTGCTGTACCTGGACTTCAAGCAGAAAGAGAAATTTGGAAAGTTGAAGAAGTTGAGAGAGAGCCAGAGGAATTTGCCAGTAGCAAAGTACAGAGAGGAAATAATCGAAGCTGTTAAACAAGAGAGAGTTGTAATAATTGCTGGTGACACTGGCTGTGGAAAATCAACACAAGTACCTCAATATTTGTACACCTCTGGATTCACGAAGATAGCATGTACCCAGCCGAGGAGGATCGCCTGCATTTCGCTGTCGAAACGCGTTGCCTTCGAGACTCTCACGGAGAACTTCCCAGTGGTGGGATATCAAATTCGTTTCGAGAAGCAACGAAATCAAAATACGAAAATAACATTCATAACTGAGGGACTTCTACTGCGCCAGGTCTCATCCGAGACCGGTCTCTCTCAGTACGACGTTGTCGTCCTAGATGAGGTACACGAGCGTCACCTCTACGGCGACTTCCTCCTGGGAATAATGAAGTGCTTGATCTACCAGAGACCAGATCTCAAGATCGTCCTCATGTCTGCCACTATAAATATCCAACTCTTCAGCTCTTACTTCGCAAAAGAAGAGGTCCGAATAATTCAAGTGCCAGGTCGTCTCTACCCGATTAAACTCCTCTACCGTCCGATAACAATTGATGACTTCAAGTACAAAAATGATAGATTCAATCCTTCTCCCTACGTCCAGATTCTCCAATTAATCGACACGAATTATCCCTCAGATGAGAAAGGGGATTTACTTATTTTTCTCAGTGGAATGAGTGAGATAACAGCTGTAGTAGATTCAGCAAAGGAGTACGCTCAGAAGAAAAATAACTGGATAATTCTGGCCCTGCACTCTACCCTCTCGATCGCAGAGCAGGATAAAGTCTTTGATTATCCCCCCGAGGGGGTGAGGAAGTGCATAGTGTCGACTAATATAGCTGAGACTTCCATCACGATCGATGGAATTCGATTTGTCGCTGATTCAGGAAAGGTTAAAGAGATGAGTTACGATCCAAACTGCAAAATTCAACGTCTGAAGGAATTTTGGATCTCAAAGGCGAGCGCTGAGCAGCGTAAAGGTCGAGCAGGTCGAACAGGTCCAGGTGTTTGCTATCGGGTTTACTCTCAAGAGGACTACACGTCCCTCGAAAAATACTCAACACCAGAAATTCAACGAGTCCCACTGGATTCCCTTCTCCTCCAGATGATGGCAATGGGTCTTCCGGATCCCCGAAAATTTCCCTTCATCGAGCCACCACCTCCCCAGAGTCTTGAAAATGCTATTCTCTCTCTCAAAGAGCACGGAGCAATCACAGATAACGAAAAACTCACCTGCATCGGTAGAACCTTATCGAGACTACCCGTCGACATCACAATAGGCAAAATGTTGATAATGGGATCGATCTTCCATCAAGTGGAGCCAGTGCTGTCTCTAGCTGCAGCCCTCAGCATTCAAAATCCATTCACTAATCGAGCGTTTAAGGACTCGGATTGTGAAACCTCACGAAAAAAATTGGAATCCGATCATGGAGATCCTATTACTTTACTCAATGCCTACAGAGAGTGGCTAGAAGTCAAGCACGAGAATAATCACGAGGGTCGAAACACCAGTGGTAACAGCAGAAAATGGTGCAGACGTCGAGGCCTTGAGGAGCAGCGTTTCTACGAGATGACAAAATTGAGAAATCAATTCAAAGATCTTCTCAAAGACTGCAAACTCATGAGGAATCATAATCAACAATCAAACTCATCGCTGTCGAGCGCCGATAGAGCCCTGAGACATGGAGAACTCAGACTCCTGAAGTCATTGAAAAGAACGTACAAGGAAACGTCGAATAGCAGGAGGAGAAAGCAGTTGAAAGTTGATGAATTCGATCTACAATTGAATAATGATGATGACAATGATGACATCGATATTAAAGACGTGGAGTTTAGAATGAGAAATGATGCCTCTCAGGTTCAGAATTTAGTCAACGCCAGTACTGCATGCTCTTACAAAGATCTGACAATGTTGAAATTAATTCTTTGCAGTGGATTATATCCACAATTTTCTATTGCTGATGAGTTCAATTACTGCAAATCCATGAGTGAACAGCTCTTTCATACTAGATCAAAACCCTACGTAGCACTTCATCCAATGAGTTATTTCGGTAATCACCCACAAATTCTTCAGCTGGAGGAGCCTGATATCATTGATATTCCAGGATTCAAATCGAAGACTCCAGTGAGTCCTAAACATCAGGTACTAGTTTATTTATCGCTTCTTGAAACAACAAAACCGTATTTAGTTAATACATTGAGAATGCCAGCTGCTCAAACTCTTTTATTATTCTCTCATGACATCGACACGAATTCCGTTATGTCTGTTATCATTTGTGATAACTGGTTGAGACTGGAGTTTCCGTTAATCGATAGTGGAATGAATCTGCTGATCAGGGCGATGAGAATTCGAGAGCGGTGGGATCTGCTGCTGAAGAAACAGCTGATGGATAAAAGTGAAGAGGTGGATGAGGAGGAGGAATCGAAGAGATTAGATGAGATGGAGTACGAGTTGAGCAGAGATTTAATTGATTTCATGCACACGAGCGTTCCTTACACCATTAAGAGACTTCTGCCTGCAGATTTGAGTCAAATTTACGTTGGACCTGAAGAAAATTATAATTCTCTCGGGGAAAGTAATCCCTTTCACAATTTCACTTGCGTTTCAAATACCATTAAGGGTGGAATTAGAGTCAGTGATTACGTCACTTACAACTGCTTATTGGAAAATGATTGGAGTGACAAAATGATAGCAGAGATGATGGAAAATTCTTGGGAATGTCCTGATTGTGATTTCAAGGGGACTCTGCAGACTATCGAAAAATTACAGCATCAGGGAATGTGCAGTAAGATAAGGAAAAAAAATGTTTTAAGAAATCAAGAAGGTGGGAGTCAATCTAAGGCTGTGAGGAAAAGTAATTGTAAAGAGTATGAGTGTGAGGAGTGCAAAGAGATTATGTGGCTGACACCCATCGAAATATTGAGACACAAGAAAAAACACTGTAAAGAGAATGTTAATTGAATTGTTTAATGGGACAATTCTTATTTATGTATTTCGCACAATTTATGCTATAAAATATGTAAAATATTTGTATATAGATTTTATGTATTATTTATAAATTATAAACACATAGAATTGCATATAATAATAATATGATAATAATAATAATAATAATATATTATTATTATTATTATTATTTGATCTTTGAAAAAACGATAATTCTTATAGGAAAATGAATATTAAATAAAAAAATGAATTAATAATCGAACTTACCTTGAAAATAATTGAATGAATTACCACTAATTGAAAGGCAAAACTTTGTAATGAAAAATAAATAGAAACCTTTATTTATTGTCTATACCAATGGGGAATACATGAAATTAATTCAAGTCCAAGGTAAAAAATTCGAGTACATAAACGTACCGAGTACGGTATAGCCCAGGAAATATCCAATAACGAATTTTTCAACGGTTGTCCATCGTTTCGACTTAAAAAATACTTTATGGTAGATTTTTCCTTCATCCTTATCATTCCAGTCGTTACGTTCCCCTTCGGACATTAAAATTGATGAGTACCAATACAAAAGTGGACTAGCTGATCCGAGGAGTCTTGTACTCACTTGTATATGCACAAAAAAAATACAGAAAACAGTTAAAAATAATCCATGAACTATAAACGGAAACATCAGTACTGGATAATTTTTTTCTTTAGATTTTTCCCTCTCGAAATCCAAACGGAAAACTCTCAGACTCACGATTTCTCCCCAATTCTCTCTAAAATACCCAAAAATACATTTTGACATCATAAAGATTATTGGGAATGCCAAAATAAAATTGGGAATTTGTTTCAAGTCGTAATAATTCAGAAAACCTACATTCCAGTATTTTTTCTGGATGTAAGAGTACGCAGACGGGATTTTATCGTAACACCAAGAGGGAATTTCCCCTCCAGGCATTACTAATCCATTATCATCCCCAAATTTTTTCACATGTGGTAAAATAAATGTGGAATTGGCACTCTCGGCGCAGAACAACACATAATAATAAGTCTGCAATAATAAAAATGGTGCAATTGATAATAATATTGTACTAAACATTTGAGAGAGGCAGGAGATACTTATTTTTAATCCAGCGATTAGTTTTGATAATTTTGTGAAACTTTTTGCTTTGAGGACGGAAAATCGGTGAATTAAATCTCTTAAACTAGTGAAAAGGGGGAATCCCACGTTGATTAATCCATTAGATCTCAGTAATGAGGACAGACCGATGGGAATACTTGCGAATCGATCATTTTTCACTGCTGCAAGCATGGAATGAAATGTTAAGTACGAGAACATTGATTCAGTGTAAGCCGCAGTGAAGAAGATGGATGCTGGACTTATGCAGAACAAAATGGCGGATCGGTACGCCATTTTCTTGTTGGTCAGGACAGACGTCAGGTCGTAAAGGATTAATGATGATTTAATGAAGCAAAAAAAGTTGATTGCAACCGCAGAAATTGTAATGACACTCTGATAATTTAGAAAAAACAGAATTTTTTTGAGAACAATTGCCGAGGCTCTGATCGTCATTGGGTAAAGAGGGAAGAAGGCTAGGGTATTTTCGTAGGTGTATCCATATTTAGCTATGTGTAGGTAATATTCAGAGTCCCAATGGGTCAATCCAGTTAGGAGAAATGAAATTAATCTGTCGAAATTTGATATTTTTTCTTCGGGATTCTGTGGAGATTTGAATGCGTCTGCTACGTGATCTGGACAAATTGCGTTGAAAAATAATTGGAGGGCTATTATTGAGAGGCGGGTGATGATGGAGAATCGGAGAATTTTTGAACGGAGATATGGCATTATGAAATTCCAAGTTTTTTTTGTTGCGAGCTGTTGCGTCGATGAATCATCGAGATAAATTCAGCAGCTTCCGGTTGATTTATCAAACCGGGATAATTTGAGACTTCCTTAGAGTAGTTTCAGGGACTGAGAGCAGGAGTTCGGTAGTGCCTGATCATCTGGAAATAAAAAATGAGTCTTCAGTTTATTGAGGATCATTGAAAACTTTTTTTAAAGATTGGTTTTTATAGTTTTTGGAATACATACAGGATGAAGAGATTTTTTATTATTGTGATGATGGGATTTGGGGGGATGGGGCAGGATAATGGATCTCAACCGATTCAGCCGGGTCCACCTGAGGTAATTTTAATTAAAGAATACAATTATGAAAATGAAGAAAAAATAATTAGTTCAAAAATGCGACTGCGGTTCTACCATTCGTGAAATTAAACTATCATAATTCCGTCAATAATTTGAGTTGATTGAATTTAATTATAAACAATATAAAAAAAAGTCAGATGAATAAAAAATCAACGAAATGGAATCTCCTGAGGATTTAACTCCTAGTCCAAAAAAAACTGTTGATTATTTTAAAATAAACGAACTCAATGTAAATGTTAATAAATATTTATAACAGATTGACGAGCCGAATGGAGACAGTACAACAGTGAAACCGAACCCACCTCTTTATACCCCAAAAGATCACATAATCCCTTTATTAATAACTGGAAAAGTCGATCCCAAAGACTCAACACGACCACGTCGTCAGGATTCGATTGAATATCCAGGATACGACGGATGGTACAATAATCTTGGGAGGCCTGATCGAGGTGCTATTGATACACCACTTCTGAGGGTAAGTCGAGCTGCTTACGGCGATGGTGTCTACAAACTCGCTGATAAGAATCGACCAAATCCCCTGGAACTCAGCGAGCAACTGCTGAATGGTGAAATCGGAATGAAATCGAGAACCGGTAGAAATGTCTTACTCGTATTTTTCGGTGAGTTAATGCTCCGATCACTAAAAAACAATCAAAAAGAAAAAGCTTCATATTAAATAAACTTATAAACAACACTATTAATAAAGTTAATTATTAATTTCAAAATGTAATCTGTAATTTAAAACAAATTGATCAGTAAATCGTCGAAATTATTCATTCGTGTAAACAAATTGTTTACAAATAATAATAATAATAATAATAATGATGATAATTATAATAATTGATAATAATTGATAATAATTGATAATAATTTTGATAATTTATTGATAAATTTATTACTCAAATGAAGAAGAAAAACATTGGGAAATATTTTGATATTTCATTTTGTTAATTAATGTTTTTTCAAGTAAAAATCTGAATTATTTCGGTATTCTTTAATAATTTAATGATTATCAATGAATTTTTATGTGATTTTCAAGGACAACACATAGTTGAGGAAATTTTGGATGCTCAGAGACCAGCTTGTCCACCGGAGTACATAAACATAGAAATCCCGAAGAATCATCCGTATCGTACGAGCAGTAATCACACAGTAATGCCTGTATTGAGGACTCGTTATGATGAGCGAACTGGACAATCTCCAAATAATCCCCGACAACAAGTAATTGAACTCCGGAATTTATTTCAATCGATAGATATTCGAATTAATTATTAGTTTATCCCTGGAACGAGAAAATTATCGGAAGATTTTTCCTGAATTGTCACGAATGATGAGGAATTTCAATATTTGTTTCTCCCACAATTAATGGAAATTAACTAATTGGGTATTTCGAGGGGAAAAGTAAAGGAAGAGTAAAAACGAATGGAAAATTGATTAATCGATTGGATATTTTATTTTAGCTGAATGAAATAACGCCATTCCTCGACGGAGGTCTCATCTACGGAATCACTAAGAGTTGGTCTGATTATCTTCGACTGGATGGCAACAACAAACTCGTCGATGATGGCTTGTTGGCCTCCAGTTTGGACGGGCAATATCCTGAGGAGAATAAAGTCAGACTTCCAATGTTTAATCCACCTCCACCGACTCGACATGGGGACTACATAAAACGACATTCCCTGGAAGATGTTCAGAGATTCTTCAGTGAGTTAAGAAATTCGACAATTCCCATCCAAAAATCCAGAACAATTCTGAAAATATTTTAAAAAACTTACGATAGGATGAAGAAGTCCAGATGAAATTTTCATTTTCTGAAACACTGACTTCGCGAAGAATTGATTAAATAATTAAGAACAAGATTAATTAATCATTTAGTTTCATTTTTCATCTTCATCTCATTCCCATTTCCATTTAATTTCAGTGTATTCTTCCATACGATTTTCATTTTCACATAAAGTTCTTCCGAAAGATCATTGAGAGCTGAATATTCCCTTTCTCCTAAACTCTTCATATTTTCGTGCCACAAACCTTCTTGGCATATTCAGCAATATGATGATCCTTGGGAGTGCACTCATACTCAATCTTCTCAGAATAAGGCATAGGCACATCAATTCCCGTGCACCTAACAGCAGGAGCATCAAGCTGAAAGAAAACCGGATTCTCCATAACAGTAGCACAAATTTCAGCTCCAACCCCACATCTAGGCCACCCCAGCTCGACAACCATGAGCCTATGAGTCTTTCCAATGGACTGAAATATCATCTTCCAATCAACCGGTCTCAACGACCTCAGATTCACCACCTCAGCATCAATCCCCGCAGTCTGAAGAATTTCAGCAGCTCTCATGACATGCCAAGTGGCTTGTCCATGACATACGATAGTAATATGCTTTCCCTTTCGTTCAATCTTCCCCTTCCCAATGGGCACCACAAAATCCTTATCCAATGCCTCATCAGACACTTCAAATTCCATATTATAAAGCAACTCTGACTCGAGAATAACCACTGGATCTGGATCTCTGACTCCAGCCTTCAAACATCCTCTGTAGTCCTCGCTGGTTGATGGTGACATGACTTTTAATCCTGGAACACTCATGTACCAGGCAGCAAAACATTGAGAGTGCTGGGCTGCCAATCCCTTGGCATTTCCATTAGGACCCCTGAACACTATTGGCACTGGATATTTACCAGCTGACATGTAGAGATTTTTGGCTGCTGCATTGACAACTCTATCTATCGCCTGCATGGAAAAATTAAATGTCATGAATTCACAGATTGGACGTAGACCAGCTATTGCTGCACCAATAGCTATTCCTGCAAATCCAGCCTCGGTTATCGGTGTGTCTATCACTCGTTTGTCACCGTATTTTTCCCAGAGTCCTTTAGTTATCTTGTAGGCACCATTGTATTGAGCTACTTCTTCACCGATTATCAGGACATCGGGGTTGTTGGCAAGTTCTTCGTCGAGGGCTGCATTCAGGGCGTCTCGGATCGAGAGCTTTGTAATTAAACGGGATAGGGGCTGGAGGGTGAGAACCCCCCGGGGAAGACTTAGAGAGTGCATCTATTTCACTGTTAAATCCTCAGGAATTGATTTGCTTGATTAATTTAATGAGCTTAATGAGCTTAATGAGCTTGACCTTGAGCTTCAAAAAAATAATCAAAACTCCACTAGGAAGTCGAGATATGAATTATTAAATTGTTAAACATCAGTTTATATTTCTTCTTAATTCTTCAATCAATTCGTCTGTCGAAATTATGATTTTTCTTGAAATCCGGGAATTTTTATTTTACTGATGGGTTTTTGCTGCTTCAGTTGATGTCGATTAATTATTTTTTCTTTTATTTCAGAATTGGGAAATCCCCGAGGCAATGAGAATCCTTTCTTGCTGTCGTTTGGTGTTATTTGGTTCAGATGGCACAATGCAATAGCGAAGGTGTTGAAGGTGCAGAATCCTCGATGGAGTGGTGAAAAAATTTATAATGAAGCGAGAAAATGGGTGATTGCTTCCCAGCAGAGTATCGTCGTGTACGAGTGGCTGCCCCAGTGGCTGGGGGAGAGTTTGCCTCCTTATGAAAGTTAATAGATAAAATAGATATTAATCAGTTTTTTTTTTAAGACTGTCAATTCATAAATGTCTTCTTTTGTTGTTGACAGAATACGATCCATCCGTTGATCCCCAAATCGAACAATTTTTTCAATCAGCTGCATTTCGATTTGGACATACACTGGTTCCTGCTGGGGTTTATCGACGAAAAAGTGGAAAAGAGGGGTGCGGATACCGTGAGGACATCCCCAAGGCCATTCGCACGTGCAATAATTTCTGGCTGACAGAGGTATTTAAATAAATAATCACGTGGAAAAATTGTAAATTAATCTGATGTAATTAGAAACTTTTTAAATTTCTCTCTTTAAAAATTCAAGTCAATTAGAATTCAATTCAGTATCAAATTTGATTGTTTTGAATTTTTTTATTAATAAATAATATGATATCTCTATAATGTTGTATATAATATTATAATATTTAGGATAATTCATATTAAATAATGGTTTTATCAAATTAAAAAATGACGTACGCCTCATAATTTTTTTCTAGTCTCTAGAGAATATAATATAAATTTAAAGTACTCAATTGAATTTTCCGCAGAACAAACTTCGCCAAAATGGTAAAACAATTGATGGACACATTGTTATCGAGGATCTCCTGAGAGGAATGGTAGTTCAACTAGCTGAAGCAGAGGATCACAAAATTGTTCCAGATCTCCGAGGAAATGTCTTCGGACCCCTGGAATTTTCACGTCGCGATCTCATGGCATTGAATATTCAACGGGCGCGCGATCACGGAATTCCGGATTATAATACCGTGAGGGAGTTTTACAAATTGCACAAGATTGAAAGCTGGTCGCACTTCGTGAACGTTGACGATGAAATCAAGAAGAAAATGGAGCAATTGTACAATCACGATTTAAATAATATCGATCTTTGGGTTGGAGGTATAATGGAGACTGGGGATGGACCAGGAAAACTCTTCACCCTCATCATTGCTGATCAATTCAAGAGAATTCGGAATGGAGACAGATTCTGGTTTGAGAACGAGAATAATGGGTGAGCGATAGCAATAAATATCCAACCATAATACAAATATAATACATTATTCCTGATAAATTAATAACTTTCAGATTATTCAAACGATCGGAGATCAAACGATTGCTAAAGCTCAAATTCCGTGATATTCTCATAAGTGTCACAGACATCGACCAAGAGGATCTCCCACTGAATGTCTTCAGAGTTCCAACATCGAGGAGTGAATTCCACCAGAATTGCTCGAATTTCTTGTCCGAAGGGGATTGCAAATACGCAAATGGCACCCGAATAGGATGCTGGCATGCACCCCCAGTCACCGAAGCTAAGACAGAAGAATGCACTCCCCTGGGGAGTTACGATTACTTCGCAAACAGCCAAGTGTCCTTTACACTGACGTTCACCTCAACAATCGCTATTTTCGGTGCATTTTTTCTACTAATAGCAATTAAATTGCAACGAGCTCGTCGACAAAATGACAAGTTACGTGCGAAACTAGTTAAATCACCTAGTGCAGAGGACTCAGCCAATATGCACACAGCTTACGAATGGATTGGATTTTCAACTCCAAAGCGATATGCTATTCTTCATCTCAATCGAAACAGCAGACAAATTGAAGTTAAAAATACTCTAGGACATTTAACAAGAGCTCTCGATCTCCGGGTGTGCAAAAAAGTTCTCATGTTTATTGGACATGACAGTCACTACTTGCTTCTCCGAGTTGAACACAATTACGATCTGGTCCTCAAATTCGCATCGATCTACCTCAGAAATGCATTTGTCATTACACTCGAGAGATTTTTAATAGACATCGGTGTAGAGAGAGAAACTGTCGCCAGAATCACTACAATAGCTGTTTTGAAACAAGCCGTTACTATGAAAGTCCGACAGAAGAAATTGGAGCAATTTTTTCGTGTTGTTTTTTCCCAGGCTTTCAATATTGCACATTCGGAGGATGAAATACTTCAGATCGATTCTGAAGTTGCTAAAGAAGTCATTCACACTGAACTGACAATTCTGGAATTTGCGGAGGCATTGACGATGCGAGCCGATTCTGAATTTGTTAAAAAAATGTTCAACCTCATTGACACTGATAAAAACGGTTTTATATCGTTTAGAGAATTTATTGACATGCTGGTGTTGTTTTTGAAGGGAACAGCTGAGGATAAACTCAAACTCCTGTTCGATATGTATGATATCAATGGAGTTGGACAGTTGAAACGTGAAGATTTTGCTGACATGTTGAGGTCTTTCATGGATACAGTGAATGCTGATATTTCTGATGATAAATTGGATTCTTTGATCCACTCTATGATGGATGAAGCGCAATTGGCTGGGAAGGAGACGATTGATCTGATGGATTTTAAAAATATTCTTGGTGAGTTCAATGACAAATTGAGTTATGCCGAGCTGGAGTTCAGTGTCACTGCTGAGGGTGCCAATAAAAAATTGCACATGGGAAAAACAACGGTCAAGTCGAAATTCATTGGAGAAGTTAAGAGAACCGTCGAGGGATTGTACGCCGATCCCAAGGACTTGAGGATGAGAGTTGCTGGAACAAAGGCAATTCACTCTGATTACGAAGCTGTTGACTCGATGGCTGACAATTTGGATATCGTAAAGAGCGTAAGTCTTCATGATAATCAGTGGCATCCGATCATGAAATTTGTGGCTAACAAACAGCTGGAGATATTCTGGGTGATAATCTACACCGTATTCTTGCTGGGGATCTTTGCTGAGAGATTTCATTGTAAGTTTGAGAAATCTCCAGAGTTCTTTTTAAAAAAATGAATTTATGAAATGGATAATGAAAATTTTCATTAACAGATTACACATTCTTGAGAGAGCACAACGGTCTGAGGCAGATCACAAGCTTCGGTGTGTCAGTGACGAGAGGTGCAGCCTCGGCGATGATGTTCGCATTCTCCAGTCTTCTGGTAACAATGTGCCATAATATAATAACAATCCTACGTGATACAGTTCTTCAATTTTACATTCCCTTCGACTCTGCCATTGAGATGCACAAGTACATCGCCTGCTGGGCCCTCATCTTCACCCTGATCCACGTAATCGGTCATGGCTTCAACTTCTACTACATATCGACGCAAACAGCTGACGACCTCACGTGTTTATTCAGAAATTATTTTCACGCATCGCACGAGCTACCGAAATTTCACTACTGGGTCTGGGGAACAATCACTGGAGTAACATCAATGTTACTCACTTTTGTTACCGGAATTATTTTTATTTGCTCTCTTCCAGTTGTGAGAAGAAGACTCTACAAGTGGTTCGACTACGGTCACTGCCTCTATCCCCTATTTTACATCCTGATGATTCTACATGGAAGTGGACGACTCGTTCAAGGCCCTTATTTCCAGTATTTCTTCTGTGGTCCTGTTGTTTTGTTTACTATCGATAAAATATTTACAGCCATGAGGAAGACCATTGAGATACCTCTGTTGAAGGTGGAAATATTGCCTTCCAATGTCAGCTGTTTGATCTTCCAGAAGCCACTACATTTCCAGTACAAAGCTGGACAGTGGGTGAGAATATGCTGTCCAGCACTCAATACCAATGAGTATCATCCGTTTACTTTGAGCTCAGCACCTCATGAAACTACTCTCTCGGTGCACATTCGGTCTGTTGGCCCTTGGACTATTAATTTAAGGAACAAACTCGATCCTGCGAGGAAGGAACTTTCAGAACTACCTAAGGTATTATTTAATATTTCTCCACATTAAATTATTCCTGGAGACAATAAATGGAGTGTTATATACATTTGATAATTTTTTCTGAAATGGAATCGTTTAATTAATATTGTTACTATTTTGTTAGTGTTATTTTGTTACTGCAGATTCATGTCGATGGTCCCTATGGGGAATCTCATCAGAACTGGAATAAATACAATATTTGTATCATGATCGCAAGTGGAATCGGGGTGACGCCTTTCGCATCGATCCTGAAGGATATCGTTTATAAGACCAATCAGAATTGGAACTTGGGGAGTCGGAAGATTTATTTCCTCTGGGTCACCCAGAGTCAGAGGCAGTTCGAGTGGATGGTGGATATCCTGAGGGAAGTCGAGAAAGTTGATGTGAAACATGTCGTCTCCGTTCATATCTTTATCACACAGTTCTATCAGAAATTTGATCTTCGAACTATTTTATTGGTAAAAAATATCAACACCCAGATGTTGTCGAAATAGAAACGAGAAAAGTTGGAGTTGATTTATATTTTATTGTTGTCTAATTTTGCAGTACATCTGCGAACGCCACTTTCAAAAAATTGCAAATAAATCGCTATTCACTGGTTTGAGGGCAGTCACTCACTTCGGAAGACCGGATTTCTCTCAATTTTTATTAGCAATTGACAGAATGCATAAAGACGTAAGTGTAATTCAGAAAATCGTGAAGAAAACGTTTATTCATTCATGATTATTGCTGGTAACTTTTTCAATGCAGTTCATTACGCCGTGTCTAATTACATTCAATTAAAAGAATATCAGAATTTCTATGAATATCAAATATCAAAATATTATTAAATATCAAAACTGTTATTGAATAAAATTCAGAACTGTCACCACTGGCAGTCACGTCTAATGATTTCTTAATTAATTCATAAATTAATATAATTTAAATTAACTCATTCTTAAATCAATTTGCAATTAATAATTATATTGCAGAGTAATACAGTTGGAGTATTTAGTTGTGGGTCTCCCATAGTCCTGAGAGCAGTGGATAATGCCTGTCAGAGTATAAACAGCCGGAAGGACACTCAAACTCTCTTCCAACATCATTACAAGAGCTTCTGATTGTTTAAAAAAATTAACGAGACAAACGAGAAATTAATCCAGGAAAAAGCAGCCAAAAGAAAATACAATCAATTCGACCTGACGAGCTCTAACTGGATTCCAATTTTATTTTAATATTCCAGATATTTCCCTGTTTGTACTAATCGTTATTTTAATTACGTCTCTCATTTCTTCTCATCAAGGTTCGATCAATGGAAAGACAGATTTTAGCGTCTGATTTCGCACATAATTTCTTTCTAGAAAACATGAATCTTCAAATATTGGTAACATAACCAATGCTACCCCAAAGAACTTATTGTAATACATACAATTATTTTGTTATGTAAACATTGAATAAAAATATATAATTCTGGACTTACGGAGTTGTGATTATTTATTACCTCCTTAAATTGTTGTTGATGTGATCTTCATAATTTGTGACAGTTTCCCAACGATTTTGGTACTTGATACGAATTCTACAGCACCAGCTAGATTGCCAGTTGAATTGTTGATAAGATTTTTGTATTTTAGTTCGAAGACGTTATCATGATGCTGGGAATTGCAAGAAAGACACTGGGACTCACAACGATTAAACAATGGACTCATTCTGGTGATTGTTTTGTCCAATTGAATGACAAGAGATTAACTAACCTAAATATTTGGAGTTGATTATTATTTTTGGGTTTTTCAGGGATGATTCAGGGTTTTGCGAGTGATGATGGTGATGGACCTAAGGATAGTCAGAGGCTCAGAGAATTCAGAAAGAAATTACGTGAGAAAACACCAATAGGTACTTCAAAAGAAATCATCAACAGGCACATGTTTGAAGTGATTTTTTAACTAGTCAGTCCAAGAGAAAGTATTGAAATTAAAATTCTTGAGGGATGAATAGAATATCATTTTTGTGTACTTGCATAATGATTAATAATAGATTAATTAATAATATGATATTAATATTCAAATAATAATGAATGAAATATGTGGGAATGATTTTGGGTATTTAATGTATCTCTAGTAAGTCTTTGGTAAAATGATAATTAGTTGAAATAATTTTGGCAGGAAAATTAGAGGAATTGGAAGAGGGAAAACATCCGTATCAGGAGAAAGAACCGCTTGAACCCCATCCGAACAACATAAATCCAGAAACTGGAGAAGTTGGAGGCCCTCGAGGGCCAGAACCTACTCGTTATGGAGATTGGGAGCGAAAAGGAAGAGTCTCTGATTTTTAATTATAGCTCATTTGTTTAACAATAAATACCAAATTAAATAAATATTCAAGATTCTCAGCTGTTTCATGCATCATTTGTCAGTGCAAAAGAGTTAAAATGTTTCCCCGGAAATTAATTCTTCGGTCGATTTCGAAGAACCGATATTTCAATTTTTCTACAGGTAATTGACAATAATGATTATTTTTTATTTAAATAATGGATTTGTTTTCACATGCCAGGATTTATCTCGCGGAACCAAGAAAAGGTGGAGAATGAGTCGGAGAGAATGAAAGAATTTCGTGAGAAACTCAAGTCGGAAATGACTGGTGGGTAATTAAATGAGACAAATTGAGATTTTAAAATAATTGGTAAAGGGCAATTAATGGCAGGACATAATTGCTTTGTATTCTTCAATCCATTTAAATTGTCTGAGAAAATAATTTTCAAGATTTTTCCACAGCTGATGATCTTCTTCTGATCGAAGTCGATCCCAAGAGCGGTGAATACATCCCCGAATCGGAGAAGAATCCGACAAAATGGGGTGACTGGCAGATCGGTGGACGTGTTAGCGATTTTTAAAATTCCCCCATCACCCCAATCTCTCACATCCCCCTCGTATTTTTGAGTGCAAAAATTCGTTTATCCAAATGTACAAAGGAAATGATAACAATATCAATTCATTTCTTTTTTAATCTACAAAAAATACCAATAATGTTTCTTAATTTTGATACATTAGTCAATACTGGTATTAGATCTTTCGTTATCATTGAAATCCATAGTCACGAACGGCAAACGATGATAATACCTCAAAAAGAGATATTAATACTCAGATGTCCTCAGAATAGAATAAAAAAATTATTTTACCTAAGAACAGTAATTTCACAACGACTTAATCTACTACAATAAACTGCTGATTCAATCGAGAGAAACTGAATGAAGAATTGTCATCAGAAAAGTATTTTTCAGCATTGGTAAAAAAAAAAATCAAATGTCAGTCTTAATTGTAGCCCTATCCTAATTCTTTCAATAGTAATTAGTTTCCAAATGTGTCTTTTAGTATCTTCTCTCTTTTTCTTATTTATTCAAGGTATCATAAAATATGAACGAATATAGATCTTAACGATTGATAAACTATAAAGTTTTATTGATGGCTAACACATCCCGCATCATCATGTTTCTGAGTGTCCACAAGGCATTAACGACATTACCATGATTGCCAACACCATTGCCAAGCCACTCGGCTGGTAGTTTTGCTACATCAGGGATTTGTGTATTTTCTGGTGTTGCATTCATCTGCTTGTCCCAATTAGATATGTAGCGAGTTTCCACGTTTAAGCTTTCGACGTATCTGCAAACATTAATTTTTTATTTAAATGTTGATGTGACCTTAGAAATATAGAAAATAAAAATAGTATAAATATTGAAGATTGGAAATAAAATTATAGAATCAAAATGAACTATTTTTGGAATATCTTAATGGAATATTTTTACTGCGTATTTATTTATTGTTCATTAAAAATTTAATTGACCTCACCTTAAATATGCATTAGAATGGAGAAGGCGACTTGGTCTCGGGGGCACAGCGACGAATAATGGCTCTGGTTGTTTAACCGTTGGGGTATTGCTTGGTGGAGTCGGTGGAGCAACGGTAGGTCCAACTGAAAAAAGCGGAATATTCTCTGAAAAGAGAGAACGAACAATTAAATTGCGAATTGAAAAATAGCAACAGATGATTCCACTAAAAGAAAAACCCAATAAAAAATTGAATAATACATATTTATCTCATATCTCACCTGATTCCATTGGCGGAAGTATCGTCGGTCCTTTCGATGCCATAAAATTCCTGCGGAGAAATAATTAGAGTAAATGATGTTTCATTTAAAAAATCGTTAACATTTTTGGAGAGTGACGAAAATAAGAAATGGAATTAATGGTACATACTTGCTTCTTTCATTGGGAGGAATTATTCTGCCATTTCCTTTGTAGATGTGTACCTCCTTGACATGTCTTGCCAGTCTCAGTACACTTGGAAATGGTGCAACAGCTTTTTTAATTCTCCCACAACCTCTCCATTGGCACTGGAAATCAGAAGTGTCTGGAGCTACATTGATGAATGACGATTGCACATGTCCACTCTGTTCAGCGATACAGTGATCAATACAATCCGTCATATCCTCGAATTGCCAATCACAATTGTCCCAGCAGCACTCGTAAACCTGATCAATTGGTATACCAGTTCCAGCACCAGGTGTTTTACCTTCACCACCTTCATTCATCTTGACTGCTCTCTCCTCCCACGCCTGTTTCTCACCAGCTGGCAATTTTCTCCACTGCAATTCAAATTTTTTACTAATTAATTTTATACTGTCCACATTTTATGGCATATTATTGTATTACTCATGGATTTAACACTCATTGTTATCTCGGATAAAATTAAACGTTAAAATAAAATTAAAATAAATACCTCATTGCCAACAATTCTGCTAATCTCTCCGAAGGTAGAGTCAGGATTATTTTGAGTAATTTGCGTTCGCATTTTACTCGAATACAAAATATACCCCGTAACTAATTTCTTACCCGTTGTTTTCTAAACAGAGAAGAGAAGACATAATTTAAGGGATAAAAAATAAATCCACTGACCACAGAGTCATCGTCAATTAATAAAAATTAGTTAATTGACAAAGCAATGGTAAAATACAGGAGGAAAGTGCAGAATTTATTTTAATGATGAAATTAATATCCCATTAATAATAACATAATCATTCGAAAATTTCATTAATTAATTATCAGACTATCTCAGTGAGTAATTTAATCACACAGTGATGAAACATCCAATTGATAAATCCCTCTGAAATGATTCTCCGAAAAATTTCTCAATTCCTCTCCTGTCCTTTACCAAAACACTGAATTTCTAATAAAAAATATAATTATTGCGTATTAAACTGTTAAGTGACTTAGTGCACACCTACTAATCAATAAATAATCAATTTCATGGTAACATGAAATCAAATATTGACACTTCGAATTGTGATTAAATGATAAATATGCTGGCATATTTTCAGTGGAACAAAAATCATGAAAAAAAAAACAACTAAAATGCAACTTTGTAAAATAAAATGCAAATGAAATTCAAAGGACAAATGGATAATGAGTAAATAAGTTAATGAGGAATTGTCTGAGAGCGCGTGTTGCCTACCTTTTTAGTAGATACAGGTGTTTGAGTATTGGAGAGCACCGGTTGAGCTTCGGTGGAACCAACGGATGGTGGTCCACCTGCATCCATGCTGTCCTCCCCTACGCCTAATCCCACTCCCATTCCTAGCACTTCAGCTTCCAGCTTCGGTAGCAATGGTGATGCGTCCTATACCATTTATTCATTTTATCCAATAACACCTATTAATTCTAATTCCAATTCACTCACTATTCCATACAATTTTCCATTAATTATATCCAAGTGGTAAGACACATCTTTTTTTATTCTTCTCCATCCTTTTCTCTCGCATCATCTGACTAATCTTCATTAACAATTAAATTTTAATCATCAATTTATTTGAAGAATTGACAAACCGAATAAATTTACTTATTTATTGAAAATCCAAACAATTTTCCTTTTTCTTCTGTATTATTTAATTACTATCTGTTGAATTCAATTTTTATTGATTTCTTTTTAATTGCAAGCAAATTGCAAATGATTTTAATTATTTAATATTAATTCATATCAACAGTTCAACGCAGAAATAAAGGACGATATTTCACTCATTCCTTTCAATTGTTATTATAATTATTATTTGAACGAAATATAATTAATGAAAATTCGGAATAAGAGATTGTTAATTGAGGGAAGTACTTGGATATTCTTGAGGTAATGGAAGATTCTATGCAAGTGTCTCATTATTCTATCCAATCATCGCTTCACTTGTATAAATGGTAATTAATCAATTTTAAAAAATCGAGCGCGACAGTTCGTTTCCCTCCTCGTAATTCAAATTTTGGCACTTCGTCTTGTTACCTTTGATTTTGCATTTAATTGGTTGCAACGATAAACCCAACAGGTGCTCATGTGTTTGTACTTCTGTACATATCGATGATTACTTATGAATTCTATATTTGTTTCAGATGAAATGAATAGTTTAGCTTTAAAGTGGCATTCTCTAATTTTTATTAATCTCTCTACCCCCTACTCATAAATTTAATTAGATTCTCTCCACAAAACCAGTCATTACTTGAAATTCAATTATGAAAACTCTAAAAAATATTATTGTTAATTCTACGGGCAACAACAAAACAATTAAAATAATTGGAACATATCGACTGTAATTTCACGGTTCAAATATTTTATTTCCCCTAAGAAAAATTATTCTCCACCCAAATTTTGGCCACTTCACCACTAAACTGCACCTCAAAAAACCAAAAATAATAATGAATGAATAAAGTGAAGAGAACTTAATGATAAACTGAAATAGAGTACAAATATGCCGGCATAAAATGTTCATGCACAAGTTAGGCAAACGTAGCAACTAGCACGTTCAATTAAATTAGTAAAAAGTAAAATAAATGGGTAAATGAATAAAATACAACACGAGCTGACTGAGCTTGTGGACAGGTAAATAAGCATGCATAATAAACTACTGGCTGACGGAAGATAAGACAATATTCGACGATGAAAGGCAATAGTAAACAGATAATTTACCATTTCAAATTGAGCTGTACTGGATACGATTGACTTGAGTGGTGATTGTGCCTGTGCCACATCGCTCGATACCTACAACACACGCAACACATGCAACTAAAGCAATTACATCGTAAAATGTTAGCAGCAAAAGATGAAAAAATGAACAAACTGAAATTTATTTTTAATGGTCGATCAATAATTATTTCACAGAAGAGACTATTGTTGTTCAGTGAATCGTTTACTTCTTGGATTTTTCATCTCCTTCATTTTTTATTGTTATCACGTAGAATCGAGGACTTACCTTTGCCGGATTTATCGGCCTCCTGAAGAAGTAAATCTCATCCTCAGTCACTGACGACGTGTGATTATATTTTTTCAACCCATCCTGATTTAATTTTCTCATCAAGTTTTTACTCTCGTCGTAAGTTGACTCACAAATGAAAACGTCGTCTTCAGGGATTTCTGTCGGTCGACCTGTGAACAATGAAACAATTCCGACCCTTGATATCATCTCCAGAAATTTATCACCTAGAATAAAATCCCAAAGGAAAATACTTACTGCAGATGTACTCCCCATAATCGAGTGCAGCGCATTTTCCGACAATAGCGACGATAGGATGAGTGCACTCATTAACTGACAAGAAGAGTTCCTGCTTATAAAACAATTTGGTTGGTGCATGGGGTATCTCAGGAGGTGTGAGAAGCCATGGGCCCTTGAAATATGCCTTTCCATCCTTAGTACTCCACAACGTATCAATCTGTGCAATTTGCTGTCTACCACCCTCAGTCGCCACATAAACGAAATCCCCAGTCTTGATAGCACCTCCACAAGTATTAAACTGCTCATAATAAGTATTCTCACTATCTCCAGTATCAAACAGCACAACATTGGGTCTCTCCTTCTCCATTATTCTCTCTCCCTCCTCCAACTCAGCAATCTCCTCCTTATGCTTCTCAAGTCTCTCCTTATAGACAGAAATAACTCGTTTAGGTTCCAAACTCTTGTCCCTAGGAACCAATCTCAAATTATCAGGATCAAAATTCCAAACTTTTATCTTCTTAAAGCTCCTAGCCTTGGTTGAATATCTGGACTCACACACATAGACATCTTTCTCGAGGAATCCCTCAGGTTGCATCCTGAAGTAATCTTTAACACTGAGTACACAGCATCTACCAGCTATTTTGCTGAGAGGTACAGCGACGTGTGCATCACTCTTGAATAGTTCTTTATCGAGAAATTTTCTCGATGCAACGTGATAAGTCTCGCTGGGTCTGTAGAATAAATTCCCATACAGCATCTGTTGGCCTTCAACGTTGGTCCAGAGTCGCTCAATCAGCACAACCGAGCACTCCATGCCCCTCTCGGTTGGTTCAATATAAGCGAAATCACCGTCTCTGTACGTCTCCTGATTGAAACTCATGGATCCCCCATTTTCACTGACATTTACCGTTGAAACTGGTATTTTTTCCGTCTCCTTAGTATCATTACCATCGCATGACTCTTCCTCGAGGGGCAATGATGACTCCTGCTGAAATTTCAGACGCTTCAACTCGGCAACCTGATTTGAAAGATCCAGGAGGGTGTAATTGAGTGCTGGTGAGTGCAGGAGGTCTCCACCTCGAGTGACATCATCACGTGTCCTCAAAAAAAATGCCTGAAGCTCAACCGAATCCTCGAATGGTTGGGAGTCTGTCCTGGATAGACGTCGTGCTCTCTCCAGACAGCTAAAGACATCCTCTTGAAATCGATCCAGCCTTTTATACACTCCTTTATCCAATCTACGTTTAATCAGATCCAATGATAATCCACGATTTTTTTTACCATCGACTATGTCGTGCTCTGGCAATTCTGCCATTGAATCCGAGTAACATCGGCCCTCTTCGTCCTGATGATTGTACAGAGCAGTGAATATTGTCGCTAATATTTCTTGAACTGCAGCTGGAACGTCTGGTACACTCTCCTCGTCCTCGCTCAGTTGTAATTTTGTTTGGAGTACTAAACGTTGGAGGATTAAGGCATCTTTGTAAATCTGGGAGTCAGGCTCGTTGTACTTGCAGGCATTATCGAACATCAGAATAAAATCGGAGACTAATTCATCGAGACTATCGTAACCATTCGTTTTCAGAGTCGATGCAATTTTTTCCATGTTCATGGGCTGTTTTATCACTTCGTAGTAATCCGGGTATTCGTTTTTGTTTGGCAATTTCATGAAGATCTGGGATAATTGACGACCCTTGGCATCGTGATAGTCTTTTATCGTGTCGTACATTGTTCGGAGCTTCTGGAGATGAAGAGGAACGATTTTCTTTGGTCGACCAACGTTTCTGGTTGGTGTGAGATTCATGGATTTACGGTTGTCTGGCAGTGGTCCAAGTTCCCTCACTTTGTCCATTAAGACACGCTCCAGGGTGTTGGCATCTTCGGAGATCAGAGAGCCTTCTTCATTGTACTGTCGACAATTATTGAACATTAATTTAAAATCTTGAATGAGTTCGTTCTCGTTCTGATATTTTTCGGATTTTATATTGGCCTCTATCTGGAGCATGTCGATGGGCTCTGATATTACTTGATAGTAATCCGGATAAATTTTCTTAGATGGTTTCTCCATGAACATCAGCATGGGCTGTCTACCATCCTCGCACACGTATTCTATAACACATTTAACGAGGGCATGGAGGCGCTTCTTCAAGGGGATGTTGTCCTTGTACTTTCCTCTGGTCAACATGTTGGAGGCACGTTTCAGTAGTTTTGGTTGAGAATTTGTTTCTGACTCGCAGTCAGAGTCCGAGTCCTGATCGAATTCTAAAAGCTCTTGGACCTTCTCTTGCATTATTTTCTGAAGCTTCACTGCGCATTTGTAGAGACGAGAGGTGTGGACGTTGTATTTTTTTGCATTTTCAAACATGATGTTCATGTCACCAGCTACTTCACTCACAGTTCCATACTCACCCTTTTTTATTTTAGATCTAATTTGGAGTAGGGCAATGGGATTTTTAATCATCTTGTAGTAATCTGGATACATTCGTTTTGAGGGTAGCTTCCAGAAGTACTCGCTCATCCTCACCCCCTGGCTATTGGGGGCAGTTCTGATGGTTTGAAATAGTTGCCACTGGGCATTGTCACTGTCATCGACCTCCGTAGGCTCCTCATCCTCGTCATCGCTCTCCTCATCCTCATCAGGTAGTGCAGCAGTCTGAGCAATCAACGATTGTCCCCCTCTGCTTCCTCTCTTGCTTCTCGTAGAAGGTGTTGTCAATTTAGCGAGAATACTGGAGCCTGACTCTTGCTTTCTCGCAGCAGCTGAGATAATCTTCTTGAACAATTTGGCATCCTTATAAATCTGCGAGCCTGGCTCGTTGAATTGACAAGCGTTTCTACACATCAGCAAGAGATCTCTCTCCATTTCACTCAGACAAGTGTACATTCCCTCTTGAATTTTTCTGGCAATTGTCTTCAGGTCTATTGGATTCTCGATTACATCGTAGTACTCTGGATACAATTTTTTTGATGGTTTTAATTGAAAAACCGTATGGAGGGGTCTATTGTTGTCCGTTGGATCTGTTGCTGTCATCACTGCCATGAAGAGATCCTCGTAAGGCTGCATCGACTCCTCGTCAGGATTTGTCGAACTCTCTGATGTGTCTTCAGACTCATCTTGCTTCATTGCTACTTTGCGAGAGAGTCTTCCAACTTTTAGAATTATTTTTCCCTTGGGTTCGGTTTCTTCGTACTCATCCATTATTCGATTCTTCGTTGAAACGCAGAGCTCCCAGAGCTCGGTGGCATCTTTATATTCTGGAGAAGTACGCATGTAGAAGGCCTTGGCGTTATTCACCATCAGGTGAACGTCAGCTGCGAGGTCCTCCATGTCTCGGTACTCATCGGTTTTCAGTTTTTGTTGAACTTTCAGGAGATCCATGGGGTTGGAAACCACTTCGTAGTAACCGGGCTCTTGTCGACGCTTTGGAACGCGGATAAATGCGTCACAAAGTAAAGTTCCATCTTCCTTTTTTTGATTGCGGATCACGTCGTAGAGTTGTTGGCACAAATCACTGGGGTCTAATTTTTTTCTCCTCTTGGCTGGTTCAGGTTGTATTTCTTCAGGATCATCCTCCGTTCCTCGACTAGCGACTGAAGACGTCCTCCGTCGTTTATTCATCTTTTCTCACCTGTTATTCAAATAAAAATTCACTAATCACACATCAAACGTGAATACATCTCTCTACGATTGGACGTCGAGTGAGGGGTCGTATAACAATTAAATAAATTTCACTCGAAACTTCAATCTCAAAGGCTCTTGAGAGAAGTCAAAGGACTGCTGAGTGTCAATAATTCATTTAGGATAAATTAATAACTTCGGTTAAGATTGGAATGTACAATGTAATCGATTTGTAACGAAAATTTGCCGCCATGACGCACTCGCGAAACGTGCCGATGTCCCACCCCCCTCCTGCCTCAAATGAAAAATAGAATTTGTCGTTAAAATGAAATTTTTGTCATTTTCTTTGTTTATTTTTCTTACCTCGATCAGCCAATCTTCGTAGAAATTGGTAAATAGGTCCGGTTCATCGGAATTCTCAGGATTTTTGGGGTATTCAGGGGTTTTAGCTTGTAAATCTCGATGTGACACAGAATTCGGCCGACGCCATAGGCTCGATGAAGATGCAGGCGTTTACAACAAACGCCGGACATTGCAGTTAATTTTTAGAGTGGGGGAATCCGACGGGTTTTTATTTAACTGCACAATATTTTGAAAAATCTTATTTTCGATATTTTTAGAAGCTGTGTTTAGCCGCGATACCTAAAAATGATGTAAAACTTCAAATATTATAGTCCTGGAAAGTGCGGAGATGGTAAGAGTCAACAATTAATAATTAACAATTAACAATTTTCCACTCTTGCATTTGTTTAAATTCAAAATATGATGCTCAAAAAAATATAATGATAAAATGATTCATCAAACTGTCATGACATCTAAAAAAATGTCGACCTCAAAAAAATGTAAAGTAAATCCAAAAATTATCAAAAACCGCGCCAAAATTCCGGGAAAAAATATTTTAAAAATCGATTATATAATAATAATCATAATAATAATTTATTTTTGAACTCACTCGTAATTTTCTTTTCTCAACAAAAAGATGTTTAAAAATTCATAAATCTGACTTTTCTATTATTATCTGTAAAAAAATTTAATTTTCAAAAAATTTCCGTTTCACAAACAAGTTCGATAATTTATTAATTAGGGAGTAATATGAAATATCTGAAATAATATTGATATTTGTCGAAATTTGATTAAGATAAAGCCGAGTGGATATGACGTTTTTCAAATTTTTGGCGCCACCAGTCAACCTGATGACCTGACGTTCAGGTTATGACATCCGAAAAAAACGTCGACACTCGGTCACTCTAGTTCCTCCAACTGTTTTGTTATCCCTCGACGGCAACCTGGACTAACACAAGGTGATAATCATATTAAATTCTTCTGTTAATACATAAATTAATAACCATGGATGATGTTATATCACAATTCATGGATATAACCGGGGTTGAACGAGAAAGAGCCGAATTCTATCTCGCCTCGTCAGCTTGGCAGTTAGAGGTGAGACAGCATATTTAAAAGACAACGAGAATTATCAGCTTATTACCCATCGGTTTTTTAAATCATATGTTTTCTCCGTTAATCCGATCTTTTAATTGATTTTAATTTGAATTTATATTTTTCATAAGTGCCTAGTCTTCTGCCAAGCAAATATTTTCGGTGAGGAATTGAGAAATTCTTTTTATTTCTGAACATTCAGTTTCTGGATATTCAACGAATATCAATTAATTTTTTATTATTTTATATTTTAAACAATTTTAATTTATGTCATTTCTTGAACTCGTCCCCATGTTTTCTGTAGTGAAGCGGTAAAACGGGGAATATCTCCAAAACGGAGGGAGCTATCGTAATTGCGGTAATAACTTTTTTTGTAGATCTAATTAGGGGCTACAAAAAATGTCCTTATGAAAATTCCCGATCTTCGGCATTTCCAGAGATATTTGTGATATTGTCATTAAAGCACTAGGTCGATTAACATCGATTTGCTTTGCTCCTAATTTTAATTAGTTCAAACGATTGAATAAAAAAAAGCTCATAGATCCTAGTTTTTTTTTCTCTTCACCGGTTCAGGTTTTAACCTCAAGATATTTTTCGTTTATTTTTTTTTCATCCCGAATATTATAGAATGAAAATTTGAAATGAAAAAAATTGAGAATTGATGAATTAATGACCATTGAAGGTTGCACTGGGTAATTTCTACGAGGACGGTGAGTCAGTTGCGCCGGAGGGAGTACCTGAGATAATTTCAGCAGAGGTATCGAGAGAGAGATCCTCCCCAGAGGATATATCCCAGGCAGAGGTGACAGAATCCACCCCGATGGATCCCTCCAAACAAAAATCCAAGCCAAACCCCAAGACAAATTCCCGTTTTGCCAGTCTGAGTTCCCTCCAGAACCAGGAAAGCAGCTCCGACGAGGAAGGACAGGCATTCTACGCGGGTGGATCGGCAACAAGTGGACAACAGATCCTGGGGCCCAACAAGAAAAAAGCAGACATCATCAATGACATGTTTAAGACGTGCCAGGAGCAGTCAGTCCCTGGAGATGACAGGCCCCAGAGCCATTGCTCACATCAACAGAGACCCAACACTTTCAGTGGAACTGGTTATAAATTAGGACAAACTAGTAATGATACAGAAGGTGATTATCATAAAAATGAATTTGTTTATTTGCATTTTGAGATAATTGATTGTTTATAAATATATTTGTTACTGTTCGCCATTAGTAATCCCCGCGTCACCATCTAGTCAGCCCAGTAACAGAGGATTAATAACCCTGAAGCTGTGGCGTGATGGTTTCACCATAAATGATCGTGAGATTCGATCATACACTGATCCGGAGAATCGTGAATTTTTGGATGCTATAAAACGGGGAGAAATACCAGCTGAGATACGTGCGGAGGTGCAAGGGGTTGAGGCACGTCTGGACATGGAAGATCATCGTCACGAGGAATACGTGCCACAGAAGCCGAAAGTCAAGGCTTTCGCTGGGCCAGGGCACAAATTGGGGAGGTAATTGATTCATTAACTCATTTCAAGATCTCGAGAGTGAACAGTGTCATCAGTATTTACAAAAAAATGAAATAAAAATTGAATAAAAAAATAATTTTCAGTCCATCGCCAGCAACAGTAGGGATGACAGTGCCAGTGGACCCAGCAGATCAGGCAGCCAACGAATCTCAGGCTCGTAGCCAATTGAATGTGGACACAAACAGTCCCACGACAACGATTCAAATAAGACTGGCAGATGGTCAGAACATTCGCGAACAATTCAACCTGACTCACACAGTCGGTGACATAAGGAGGTACATAACAACGATGAGACCCCACTACGCAATCCAGGAATTCCGTCTTCTGACAGCCTATCCAACAAAGGAGCTCACTGAAGAGGACAAAACAATCGATGAGGCTGGCCTCAAAAATTCAGCTCTCATGCAACGCCTTAAGTAGAACCTTTCACTATTATCCCCACCTGAAATATTCTTACTGTTTTTAAGCTCACGTTTACAACAGATCAATAAAACCTAGAATTTGATTAATAAGTAATCCCCATAATACTTTTCATTCTCAAAAATCCTTGTAAAATCCTCTTTATTAATTACAAAAGCAATCAATCTCCAAATAATCTACCAGTGAGATAATACTGAAAAATATTGGACCCAGGGGTGTTCTCTGCGAACCTGAGCAACTGATTCTGGACAACATCTTCACCTTCACACAATTCGTATCTATAAATCCCGATGAGATCATCAAGCTTTTTCCTAGCTCTTCCCTTTCCAAAGGGCTCGTCGTCCCCAAGTTGGTAGACACGTCTCTCCTCTTTGCTGCCCTCACCCCTGACTCTTTTCGTCGTCGACAAGATCATGGGTGTCGAGAAATTGAGATATTCACCAGGTCCCTCCATGCAAAACGCGAAGGTCCTCATTCCGAAGGGTCCCCGAGGATTATCCCCTCCCGAGACCTTATTGAAGTCCAAAACGACACTCGCCATCGTCGAATGGTACTTCAGATTGACGTACTCATTCCAGGCAAGGGTGAGGGCAAGCCCAGCCCTCCCAAGACCCCTGTAAAGACAGTCGACCTCCACGAGGTGCCTGATTACCCTGGGCTCTACGTCGTATGGAAAATTCCAGGAGACCGTCGAGTACGTAAAATTCATATTCAAAACACGAGATAATGATTTCATCCCTGAATTGAAGGTGTCAGAAATACCCGAATCGTAGACGATGAAATTCCCCAGGCCGATATTCCTGTGGAAGGCCACGAACGTCACCAGATCCATTCTCTTGCCGATGAAGGCGTTTTTTGCTGGTGTGGGGGCGACGCAGACGACAGAATCATTTTTTCCATCGTTTTCGGAAATATTTCGGACCTTTATTGTGGATTTTCGAGTGTTCCCTGCGTCGAGGAGCTGCACACCAGTGATTTTATCGTGGCTGGAGATCCCCAAACTCCTGCACACCAGAATGAGACCGTAGAATTTCTCATCTCCGATGTAGGCGAGGTCTAGGGTGTCGTCCTCAGAGGTGATCTCGAAGGAGAAGTTCCCGGTGACTTTTCTGGGGCTCTCGGGGTTAGTGAGGATGCTGCAGGTGATGGGGTTGGTTTTTAGGTAGCTGGTGCTACCAAATGCAATCACTCGGACTTCGTCGTTGACGTGATAAGCCGAGAACACGTGCAGATTGTCCGTCAGTCGTTGCCACGTCGACGAGGGCTCGGAGAAGTCTCGCTGGAGCTTGTCTGCCAGGAGGCAAGTCTCGTTCGATGGATTTCTCGAGGGGCTCCCAAAATAGTTGAAGACCTGCATTAATTGAAATAAATAATTATAGTAGTAATAATAATAATAGTAAGCATCATTCACTCCAAAAACCGGAGAATAAATTACTCGACTTGTTTAACTATTTATTTTAATTACCCAATTACTAATTATTTTTTGGTGAACACTGACCTGGAGGACGAACCTCAATTTGTTGTATTCGTGACGATAGAACAGAAGGGCGATAAGACTGAGGGCTGCGGTTAGGGCAAGAGCTGCTTGATAATATTTCTTCATTATTAAATTTTTAAGAATATTCACTTGTTCCGAGTATTGTCCTGCGTACTGATATGTTCCTATTTTTAAAATTATTGTGCGAATTTCTTCACTTTGGAAGTTCGGCTTGCCTCATTCCTTGTGGCTCATCTCCAGGAAGAAAGAAATTTTGGAAGTCCTTGAACCTGTGGGGGAATCGATTATTCCTGGATTTTTATTTTTTATTTTCCTTTCTTATTATTTTTATCAGGTGATAACTGACCTGGGGGAAGGTAATCACCGATTAAATTGATGGAATGACATCCTGGAGTTTTTACTGAGTTCTATGTTCAGGATTCAGGTTATAAACTAATTAATAATAACAGGTTCGATGGACTTGATTGTGCGCAGGCGCTGGCGAACGCGGCAAAAATAAAATTGAAGGCCCGCATGTACTATGGAATATTATCTTCACTGTGAATTTTATATTGTTAGTGCAAAATATTTTTGAATTGTCATACTTGAGCCAGTGGAATGTTTATAAAAAGATAATGATAAATAAAATAAAAAATATAAGAGGACGAGAGAACGAATGACAATTGTAAATAAAAGAGCATTTTCCTACGGAATTTCTTTTTATGTAATACGATGGATATCTTCTAATTGTTATAATGGTTTTTAAAAAATGTAAATTAATGGATAAATGTTAATTAATGAAACTCAAAGACAATGGATTATTTCCGTGTAAAAACCGTAACAATCGCTTGATCGTGAACGCCGCTCATTAATTATGTGGCTCGTTAAGATGATTGTCACTCCAAAATTTAATTCAGTCCTTTGCGTTGTTTTTTTTTCACTTCTATGTGGAACGTCTTCAATTTTTCATTAGAAAATTACAGAAAGATCACGAATTTTCATGAGTATTAGATCTTGTCATGCGATTGAATTGTTTTCTTCTCGAGCCTTGGATAAGGTTTGGTGATAATTCAATTTGGAAAGTGGAGTTTTTACTCAACAGGATGCAGATTAAAATCTATCAAAAAACGAAGAATGGATTCGAGAGAGGAATTTGTTAACGTGATTCAATTCGATTGCTCCTCAATTAAGGAAAATGTTGAGTTTGGGTTAACTCGCAGAAAAAAAAAAATGAAACTTTGGTAAAATCGGTTGTTTATTGAACTGCAAAGTGAAGAGTGATGAATGAAATTTAGGCAACAGGAGCAACAGGGAGATGAGCACCCTCTGGGTGGAATCCGTTGCTGTCAGCGGTGTAGTTGATGGTGTAGGTGACACCGTCCTCCCCGACGAAGCTGTATGAACCCCTGACGACGATCGCCTGAACGGGCTTGCCCTCCTCGTCGACGGCTTCCTCAAACTGTGCCTGCTCCTGCTTGCTGCTGCCGTCAGAGAGCTCATATCCGTACTGATAGCCCTCGGGGAGGCCATTGTTCTCGTGGAGGGTCTCCTTCACCACTATCACCTCCTTCTGTTCCTTGGCTGGTGCAGCCAGGGCAACCGCCACCATCGCTACCAGAACAATCATCTGCACAAACCAATCATTTATTAATAACCCATTCAATATATTATTCCACTTCCATATTAACTCATTCTAATTTTTTGCCATTTCCCATTTTTTAAATTATCAATTAAGTTTCATTGAATCATCCATCAGCCGGTCGTTCAATAAACTAATCAATTAATCAGTTAGTTAGGTGGAACGTTGATTATTCAGATAATCAATTAGCCCCTGGTCGCGAATAAATTCACTCTTGCAGTTTAATTAATCCAATAACTGATCGGCTGTACTTAATATTTTATAACTGACGAAGAATTGAGACACACCATTTTCATTTTGGAGTTTGTTTTTTCAGGAGACCGTTGACTCGAGAGGAACTGATGTCCACTGATCATCACCTCCCAACTTATATACTGCAGAAAATCGATCACTCCCCACTCGATATTTTAACGTTTTTCAGTGATGAGCACTTGATAATCTTTTGAAATTTCTACGGCATTTCGAAATTTTTCCTCCACACCTATCCTATCATTTTGTCGCTTACGGAAATTAAATAGAAAGGGCGCATCTTCTTGATATTGAAATTTTCGTTACAGCCATCACGTGATTTAAAGTATTTTCGAGGTTTTAGAATTCGGACTAAATGTCAAATCAATCGTGTCAACATATTTCAAGGCAATTGAAATATCTAATAATATTCATTTTTATGGAATTTCGTATGTGCGATTTATGAAGAATATAATTTAAAAAATGGACAATCTTTTTTTTAAACCTTTACAGATTTTTGAAAATAATAAAATGGCAATTATAAATTTGACAAATCATTCCTCAATGATATAATCATTGACACGCACTCGATATTTATTAAATCGATATTAAAATATTGATTGTTCGATTCCACTTGGGATTTTTAAAATAAAAAAAATGAAATATGTCGATTTTTTTTATTTTAAATCGCAAAAAAAATCGCTAGAATTCCAGGAAATTCATTCACCTTGCAGTATGTTGATACGATTTACTTGACATTTAGTCCGAATTCGAAAACCTCGAAAATAGTTCAAGTCACGTGGTGAAACAGTGATAGATCGAAAATTTAAATATTGAGATGAGTCCGGGAAGATACGTCCTTTCATTTCTGTAGGCGACAAAAAGGTGAAAAGGGGGTGGGGGCAAATTTCGAAATATAAATCTCAAGAGATTATCAAGAGCTCATCACTGAAAACGTTAAAATATCGAGTGGGGAGTAATCGATTTTTTGCGGTATATAAGTTGGGAGGAGATGATCAGT